GCTTCAACGTCTTCTGCACTAAGACACTCCGCTTCAGAAGTTTCTACATTCACCTTGAATGTTCTGTTACTTCCCTGCTCAGACTTCATAATCAACTTCTGATTAGAATCATACAATGTCAAGAGATTGTCCTTCATAACCACTGAAAAACCTTTCTCAATAAGTTGACCCACACTCATCAGATTGCTTTTAATTCCAGGAACATACCAAACGTCTTTGATCAGAACGTTTCTTCCATTCTTCACTCTGACTCTAACATTTCCCATACCTTCTGCATTAAGGTACTTATCATCAGCACATCTGATCTTTGTTCTCCTTCTAGAGTCAAAGTCTATCAGCCATTGTTTGTTCCCAGTCAAGTGGTTTGAACAACCAGTGTCCATATACCACCAATCTCCTGAACAATTTCCATTAGAATCAGAAGCCATCAGTAGCACAGGTTCATCATCAGAATCTTCTCTGGCTATATTTGCTTCTTCTGATTTCCTTCCTCTGTTTCTACAGTCTCTGGCAAAATGGCCAAACTGTTTACAGTAGTAACATTGAACCTTCTTCTTGTCATGCCTTTCCTTTCCCTTCTGATATTTCTTTTCATCAGAAGTTGAGGTTTCTGACTTCTGGAATTTATCACCATGTCTATTCTGCTTCTGGTCCTTCTTGACAAAAGAAGCTTTCAGAGCTTGCTCCACTTCCCTCTCAGAAGTTCTTTCAGTCAGACGCAACTCTTGCGCTTCTAGACTTCTTTGCAACTCTGCTATTCTCATGGTTTCCAGATTTTTAGAATGTTCAATAGAAACAACAATGTAATCAAACTGAGGAGTAAGTGACTTCAGAATCTTTTCTATGATTACCTGTTCAGAAAGTGTTTCTCCACAAGCCTTCATCTCATTAGTGATCAGAATCATTCTGGAGATGTACTCAGAAACTTTCTCACTGTTCTTCATGCTGAGATTTTCATATTGTTTTCGCAGGGACTGAAGCTTTACCTTCTTTACTGATACGTCACCACCATAACATCTGGTCAGTATATCCCATGCCCCTTTCGACGTCGTCGAATCAACAATCTTCTCAAACACATTTTCATCCACACACTGATGGATAAAGAACAGTGCTTTCTGATCCCTCTTCCTGACAACTCTTTCTTCTGATTTTTGTTCTTCAGTAGCATCTGCTGCAACTGGAACATAACCTTCAGAAACAAGATCCAGAACATCCTGAGCACCAAACAGCACACGCATCTGTATCTTCCATCTGTTCCAGTTTTTTCCATAAAAAAATGGAAGTTTTGTGTTCAAACTACTGCCTCCATTCATCTTAAACCTTGCACAAAAACTCAGATCTCAGATTTCTCACTCAGTGTTTCCCAAACCCACAGAATCAGTGTGATTCTGTTTCAAATTTTTGTTCAAGATTCAAAAATTAAACACACAACTCACTATCACTCGTGTCTCCCAGAATTTCAGAATAAACCAAGAGCTCTAGATACCAATTTGTTAGTGCAAGGTGATGAAATTGAGGAAGAAGAGAGAAAAGGAATAAATGCTAAAAGCTGCCACTAATGATTGAAGGAAATTGATTGTATTAAATGTAAACCTAGTACACCTATTTATACACAAATAGAGTAAAGATAAGAATGCCACATAGGCCTCTAATGAGAATATCTAACAAATGACAAATACTAAATTACCCTCTAATAAGAACAACAACAACATTACAGGGATAACAAGTATAACAGCACAACAATTTGTACAAACTTTTGTGCTAATTTGCAAGAAGAAGATGAAGAAGGAATAATGTCTTGAATCCTTCCTACGAAAACTTCTGCAGATCCGGATTCTACCATCACCAACTGTCGTCATCTCCAACCTACCAGCAACCTCCATCGCGATTCATACAAACAATAATTCGCCACCATCACGCCTCCAGCCACCCCAGATCCCGATCTTGAACCGACAGAACTGCAACACACAAGCCCATACACTACAAGAATATATGTCCCCAGCGACATATATTAGCGACGTGATTATCACGTGAGTAGTAGCGACGTGATAACCACGTCGCTAATATATTTTACTGACAAATAATGCAAATCAGAGAATGTTGTAAAGTAAAAACATCAGCGACGTGTCTTACACGTCGCTACAGAAGGGGGAAATTTGAATTTTGGTAGCGACGTGATAGCCACGTCGCTATATTAAAGGGGGGAAAATAAATTTGGTTGATGACAGGGTTGCAGAGTGGGAGAGAGAATAATTTTTCTGTTTAGTGTGTAGCGACGTGATTATCACGTGGCAATGTTGCGACGTGACAGTCACGTCGCTACTTGACTTTACATCTCCAAAATTTTCATCCGTTACAACAGCGTTGTTTTGCTTTCTTCTTCCTTTCCTCTTCCTTTCTTCTTCCTCTCAAACCCATTCTTCTTCCTCTCAAACCCAAATTCCCGAATCAAATTTCCTCCATCCCAAATTGTTGAAGAAAAATAAGGTATTCATATTTTGATAAATGTTTATTTCGTTTGTTCATTATTTATTATACTGGAAAGAAATATTAAAAAGGGTATTTGTTCATTTGTTCATTATTTGTAGAGAAATTTGAAGAAGAACACCAAGAGCCAAGAAGAAGCAAATTTAGTGAAGAAATTATATAGAGGTATTTATGCAATTTTTTATAGATTTTATATGTATTATATAGATTAGTGGTATATGTATTTTGTGGTTAGGAAGTATATGTATTTTGTTAGTAGTATATGTACTGGTAATAAAAAATTTTAGAAAACATAAAATTAAAAGTCTTATTTTTTATAGATGTATATATATATGTTAACACATAAATTTAATAACATATTTAAAAACAAAAATGTATATTATATTTATTATAATAGTTTTATTTTTTTATTTATATGTTAAAGATATGAAAAAAAATTATATATTAAAATAAGAATTTATAGAAAACATAATTAAAAAAAGAATATATATATTATATTATTATTTTAATATTATTGTTATATATAAAATAAAAAGTATATATGTTACATTATTTGTTTTCTAATATTATTGTTGTATATATAATAAAAAGTAAATATGTTATATTATTGTTTTTTGATATTATTGTTATGTAATAAAAAATTATATATTTTACATTTGAATATTTATTTATACGTTAGTATATATATAAAAAAGTAGAATTTATATTTTTAAGAATAGTATTAAATAGTTTAAGAATAATATTATTAAGTTGATTAATATTTCTAATGAAAAAGACAATGATTGTATAAATGTGCAGTATGGAATATTATCGATATTATCGCAGTTGGATGTACGATAGAACATATCCAGGAAGAAGTGGACTTAAACCCAATTTTATAGTAGGAGTTGATGGGTTTATTAAGTGGGCGTTTGCTCAGGATTGTTGTCGAAGCGAAGGAGGTGTTAGGTGTCCCTGTCTTAAATGTGAATGTAGACCAATAATTAGTGACCCAGAGGAAGTAACACGTCATCTGCATAGAAGGGGATTCATTGAAAATTATTGGGTTTGGACGTATAATGATGAAGAACTACCGGTTAATGTACCAGAGACTAGAAACACGCATGCTTCAAGTAGTCGACCGGTTATGGAGTATGAGGAGAACTTTAATTTGATCGGTGACATAGTTGAGGATGCTTTTGGTGTGAACGTGACATATGATGAACCTTAAGATTTTGACGGGGAAGAGTTGCCGAATGAGGAAGCGCGAAGATTTTATCAATTATTGAACGAGATGAATACGCTGTTGTTTGAGGGGTCGTCAGACTCGAAGCTATCAATGTGTGTGAGATTATTGGCCGCCAAGTCAAATTGGAATGTTTCTGATCAATGTCTGGAACATTTTGCAAAAATGATGTTGGACTCCACCGCTACGAAAGACAACTTGCCTACAAGTTATTATGATGCAAAGAAGTGGGTGTCGAAGTTGGGTTTAAAAGTAAGAAAGATTGACTGTTGCATTAACGGTTGCATGTTGTTTTATGACAATGAGTTTGGTACTCAAGATGGATCGTTAGAGGAGTGTAAGTTTTGTAATAGTCCAAGATATCAAGTTCGCAGTAGAGCCGTTAACAGCAAGCAAAAGCGTGTAGCAGTAAAATCCATGTTTTATCTTCCTATAATACCAAGGTTAAAAAGAATGTTTGCTTCAATGCACAGTGCAAGTCAAATGACATGGCATCATACAAACCAAACAAGTTCTGGCACTATGCGACATTCATCTAATGGTGAGGCATGGAAGCACTTTGATCGGACACATCCAGATTTTGCTGCAGAACCTAGAAATGTCAGGCTTGGATTATGCTCTGATGGATTTGCCCCATACGTGCAAGCGTCAGGAAGTGCGTATTCTTGTTGGCCAGTTATTGTAACACCTTACAACCTCCCTCCTGAGATGTGCATGACAAAACCATACATGTTTTTGACGTGTGTTATTCCAGGCCCGCAAAGTCCAAAAGTCGGAATTGATGTGTACTTACAACCTTTAATTGATGATTTGAAGAAGATGTGGATTGGAGAATGGACTTATGATATATCCCGTAAACAGAACTTCACATTACGAGCTGCCTTGATGTGTACCGTTAATGACTTTCCAGCATATGGCATGTTGTCTGGTTGGGGTACGCATGGAAAAATGGGTTGTCCGCATTGCATGGGATACACCAAAGCATTTACGTTGGATAAAGGTGGGAAAAGCTCATGGTTTGACTGTCACCGCAGATTCCTACCAACAAATCATCCATATAGAAGAAACAAGACAAATTTTAAAAAAGATGTACGAGAGAAAGATTTGCCTCCGCCTCGATTGCCACCAGGGGTTATATGGAACCAAGTATGTGAACTACCAAAATTTACAGATACTGGCAAAGCATGCCGAATTGAAGGATATGGCGTCACCCACAATTGGACAAAAAGAAGTATATTTTGGGATCTTCCGGATTGGAAAGATAATTTGTTGCGCCATAATCTTAATGTTATGCGTATTGAAAACCATTGCCACCTTTGCCTTCAATTCCAACATTGCCTCTACCAAGTCTTCCACCATTGCCAGTGCCAACTACCATTCCCTCTCTTCCAAAACTCACTATGCCACCACTTCCTAGCTTTCTTACAAATATTCCAACTCTCAACATTCCACCATTGCCAGCACTCACTTCACTTCCCAACATTCCCACTTCAATCCCAACCACTTTCCCTTCCATCCCATTTCTCTCCCCACCACCTTCAACTTCTACCCCTTAAACATTTCTTTACAATGTGCATTATGTGTTGATCAGACTTTGCATTATTTCTTTATAGTGTGTGATTAAATTCTGTTTGGTTATGATGATGGGAGTATCTTTGTTGTATTCTATGGTATGAAACCTTTGTACTTTTTGCCATTTTATTTTACCAGTTTGGAGTTATAGCTTGTACTTTTGAATTTATAGTACCGTTGAATGTTACATTTATATACGACTACAATACCTTTTTCTTTTGAATTATAATAGCAGAAAACAACTTCAGAATATATCATCAACTTAATCACTAAATTATCATTCTCTCCAAAATTATCTTTAAAATATATAAAAATAGTCAATTAGTCTCTTCTAATAAAATCTTGCACACTTAGATACAAGAATGATATCTTCTTCTTTAGGCACTCCTATATGTTAAACAAGCAAAAAGGCGAATTAGTTCTCCATGGACAATCCAACTATATAAGTAGAGTATTTTTTTTCCATAATGATATATTACTATTTTGATAAACAATACCTAATGAAGTTTTGGATTGATTGGAACAAAATAACAACAATAAAAATACAGTATTTTTGAGTTTTTCTTATAGAAACAAATTGGCAAACATTGGTGTGCAAAACAAATTATAATTTATAAAGATAAAAGTGGTTAAAGATTGAATTTTATTTGCTTTCCTCTTCATGCACAAACAAACCTAACTTCAACACAGATTAAATTTTTGCAATTGAAGTTCAAACTCACATAATTTGACAAATTTTAATTCCATAAGTTTTTTTTAAACAAATATATATATATATATATATATATATATATATATATATATATATATATATATATATATATATATATATATATATATATATATAATCATAAAATATTCTATAGTTGAATATGCAAGTGCACTTAATATTTATTGAGTTTGAGAAGACATATGATATAGTGTCTAGAGAGATTTTGTGGAAAACCCTATAGAAGAAAGTGGTTAGAATTGTATATATTCGAGATATCAAAAACATGTATGAAGGATTATCGACTACCAAGCGGCCACAAGATGGAGAGACAGACGATTTCCCACTACACCAAAAAGGGTTTTTAACATCGCACATTAGACAACGCTTTTATACAAAAACGCTGCTATAAGTGAATTTAATAAAAAAACACGGAAATTGTATACAATATTAAATAAAAGTGTTGTTAAAAATGTGACCTTAGACAACGCTTTTAAAAAGCGCTGCTAAAAGTGTTGTTTAGAAAGCGCTTTATCAAAAACGCTGGTAAAGTACTACTTTAGACAGCGCTTTTAAAAAGTGATGTCTAAAGTCATATAAAATTTTAAAAAAAAATCTCAAAAGCGTTGCTAAAGGGTCACATTTTCCAGCGCCTTTCAAAAGCGCTGCTAAAGGACCATATTAGCCAACGCTTTCTAAAAAGCGTTGTCTAAAGGCATATAAATTAAAATTAAAAAATAGAATCAAACTTGTTTCTCTTTTCACAGACTCGTTTTCCTCTCAAACTCAGGAACGAAAACCCTTTCCCTCTTACAAATCGTCTTTGTCCAAGCTCCTTCCGCCGTCGTCAAGCTCCATCCGCCGTCCTTCGTCCGACCAGCCCTTTCCCTCCGTCCTCCACCTTCTCTCCCGGTTTTCCTCCACCCCGACCGACCCTTTCTCAAGGTAGGTTCTTTCTTGAATCTGAGTTTTACTAAAATCATGATAAACCAAAATACTCAATGTTGTTCTGTGGAAAAATCAATTTGGGAAGTGTTTTTATTTGTTAGAGTGCATTAACATGGCTAAGAGCAAGCTAATAGAGAAGTTGTTTGTAGCATGATTCTTGTTGGCATAAGTTTGTGACTGATTTGTCGGATATGGTGTAGATCATTATTTGACTGGTTTGTGTGGTTCTGGGCAAAGTACTATTGCTAAGAAGCGTTGTTAACATCCACAACTCAAAGGTAGTAATTTATTGCCTCTTCTTCTTTGTTTCATATAAATGACTTATAATATAAGCAATTATATGATAAACGCGGAAATAAGTTATTTAATCATATAGGGTGTTAGTCCTCTAAATTATTTCATCTCATTAGACATTCAATCATAGTAAATATCCTAATTTTCATGATTTTAATAGCATAACTACAACATAAGGACGAGTTACTTCACTTCATATATAGTAGAATAATATATATATATATATATATATATATATATATATATATATATATATATATATATATATATATATATATATATATATATATATATATATATATATATATATATATATATATATATATATATATATATATATATATATATATATATATATATATATATATATAGTTAATTAGTAGAGTTTGGTTATGAGATATATAGGTACTAAATTTCTAGAAATAATCCGTTTAAATCATACAAAATATTTCTAAAAGTTTGTATTAATCTTCTTATAGTGTATATACTATTTTCCCTATTTTGTTCATGTGCATTGACACGTAAATTCATTAGCCTCTTAAATGGACTATTTTTGTTTGTTTGTTTTTGTTAGTGAAAGAGGTAATATATTAAAATGTTTATGTTTATGTTTGTGTTTACGTTTAAGTTTATGTTTATGTTAATGTTTGTGTTTGTCATTTTATATATATTCAAATGATTATGAAATTTTATATTGGGTTTTTGTTTATGTTTATTACAGGTTAGATGGCTACTAACGTGGATCACCCACATGACGATTCTGGGCATGATGGAGATAAGCCCGTTAATAAAACGAAAATGGAAATTGGACGAGGAATAACAATAATGAAGAGAATCATTCAAGATGGAGATCGAGGCATGAAGTATGATGTGCATTAGAGTCAAGAAGGCCAACTAATTGTGCCTAACGGGTCAACATTGAAGAGTTATCTTGGTTCGGTGGTAAAGAGAGAAATTCCAATAACTTGGGAAGATGGGAGAGCAATAATGTTGGATGACGCTAAAGATAAAATATGGAGTGAGATACATGTACCATATGTGATGTTATTTGTTTTTAATGAAGATTATGTCTTTAAATTACTTATACTAACGCACTTTGTGTATGATTTTCGTAGAGGTCATTCAGCATTGAGAATACCAGGAGAGATTATATACTCAAATTGGCAAGAAAATTACATAGAGGGTTTAGAGCTTTTTTATCAAACAAGTTTCTTAGGGATGCGGATAAAATTTTTGTTGATGCAGAGCTTCCAAATAAAAATAAAGATTTGATTGCACCTGAAGAATGGGAAACTTTTAAATCCAAAAGAAAAACCCAAAAATTTGAGAGCTTAAGTGTCATAAATCGACAACGAGCATCAAGTCCCGTATATCTATACAGAAAAGGGCATATGGGATATGAACGCTTACAACAATCTATTGTAAGTATCTATAAATTGAAAAGTATCTATAATATATGCACGCTTATATTTGATCAAGTTATTTGGCTTAATGTGTAGTTAACAAAGGAAAACAGTTTTGAAACATCTCTTCCGGAACATGTTTTGTGGAAGGAAGCCCATGTGTGTAAGGATCTAGCTGTTCAAGAAAATGTTCAACAAATTTTCGAGAGATGTGTAAGTAAAACATTATTTATTTAATTACATCATTCTTTTATTTATTTAATTACATAATTCTTTTATTAACATATCATTCTTTAATTACAATATTCATATGAATTTCAGGAGACTCTTTCTCAGTCTATATCTCCAGATGAAGATAATGATTGCAGGAGAATACTTAGTCGAGCATTAGATATTCATGAGTATTCTGGTCGGGAGAGGGGAAAGGGATTTGGGATCACTCCAACATCCTTGAAGAAAAAAATAAAAGATAAAAGCTCCTAGTAATAAAGAACTTCAGGAAAAGTTGGAAAAGATACAATAAGAAGTTTATGAGCTGAGAAAGGAAAAAGAAATAGATCAAGCTACAGGTTTTAAAGATACTAGTGACAAAGGTAGTATCAATGGTAACTTTGAACTGAATACTCCCGAGGTAATTATATACCATATTTATTAATTATATAACCATATTTTATTAATTATATAACTATATTTATTAATGGTTATAGGGAATTTCCGAGTGTCAACTCTATTTGTCGTCACCGACTTATCAGATGGTTGGCAAGGGAAAAGTGTATAATACTACGGGAGAAATGCTTCACCATAAACTGCTCCCAAATGGATTTTTGAAAGTATAGGTTGATGTTGTTTTAGAGGGGGGTGCGTTATTACCACTACCCGACGATGTGGCGGATGCAACATTGGTGGCAGATGCAATAAGATCATTTGTTGCATGACCGTCAAGCCTCGTTTGTGTAGATGATGGGGTATGCTTAAAACCGTTTACTATTCAAATTTTTTAAGGCAATTTTACTTACATTTTGTTTACATGATAATGTTAGACTCTAACAAAATCCATTCCAAAAGATAAGGGGATTAGGTGGGGAACTGAGTCAGTTGCATCAATTGAGGTACAACACAATTATATGACATTTATACTATGAGAAATGTTAATTTGTGATTTTATACTTCCCCTAACTAATTATATGACAATTAGTGTCATGCTAAAGAGATTGCACAAGTCAGTAGGGGTAAGGAACATGAAATTAGCAATATTTCCACACAAAAATATTGCTAAGAAGACCGTGGCTAGCAAAAAAACTACTGCTCAGTTCAAGTCATGCCTTTGGACATATTTTTGATTAACAGTTATTTCAGATGGTGGTAACCGCCTTATACCTATGAGTGCAGACATGTTTGGTTTTGAATACCTGGAAGAAATTGGTAGAGAGGATATGGAGCAAGTTTTTATACATTTGGAATTAGGCCTCAGTGTTATTGGTATATACATCAGGTATACTCCGATCAACTTTGTTTAATAAGATGAACAACTTATTTCCTCATTTCAATGAATATAGTATAATGTTAATGATGTTTTAATTTAAGGTTTCT